TTTTAAATTATTTTTTAAAATTTATATGTATTATAATGGCATTCTTTCACACAAACTTATGGTGTTTCTTCTGTAGTATTTCTTGATTGTTTCATACAGAAAATACTTTATCTACCTATAACTGAATATTTTGGCAAAGTGTATCAAGTTTTTTTCTTTAATGCGCGAACAATTGAAGAAAAACTGAAAAGAAAAGATGGAACTATTTCTTGGAATAGTAGGCCTATCCTGAAGGTTTTATCCACTCTTGGCAAGGTGTGATTTCAATCACATAGGTTAAATGGATAATGTACCTTTTCTTTTAGTTTTTGTCCAGTTCAAATAGCTGTCATGTCCTATTTGTGAGGCATCGTGGTGAAATCAGGCGCTCGTCAAAATAATGAAACCCGAGAAATCGGAATTTTTCGGCCAGTTTAGAAATATTTTTCGAATTTTTTTATTTTTGGCTCAACACCTTGTATGTTCATTTAAAAACACTTTTATGTGTAGATTTTATGGAAAAATGTCGATTAAAGGCACAAAAGAAATGTAAATTTGACATTTCCAAGAACTCTTAAGCTATGGAAGTCACAAAACGTTGGCGACCATTTTCTCGCTAAGTTTACTTCTGAAACCAGGTGACCCCCACCTCCTTCAGTCGCAAATATCTCAACTTCTATTCAAGATAAATAGATTTTGTTTTTCATTCAAAGCAAGGCAAAGGAACAACCTTTAAGATGATGGCAATAATTCCATATGCCCACAAATTGACGAGGGCCTGATTCCACCGCGTCATGTGATTCCTGGTCTTTGAACTTTATACCAGACACGCACAGGCTTCCCAACAAATGGGATCAGAAGACAATAGTGATTTCTTTGTCTTTTTTAAATGTTGTTTTGATCACAGTTGCTTTGTTTGTTTGTTGTTGTTTTTGTTTGTTCTTGTTTGTTTTGTTTGCTTTTTTGTGGGGGGGGGGGAACTTTTCCACTTTAGTAATAAGCCTTAATAAACACCTGAAGGTTGAGAAGCTCTCTGCCATAGGCTGAGCCTATCAAATTATATTTTATTAAAGAAAAAAGAAAAAGTGATAATGATAATGACAATGATAGCGGGAAATGCTCAGTAAATTAAGGAACTCATCAGTCTGTTTTTCTGTCCTGAGTGTCTTAAGCGATGATTCAGTGTACAATCTGTTGTTACTCACCTTTTTCTTATCAGATTCAGATATAAATAAATCTGACCCAATCTGTGTCGATGGAGGCGTCAAAGAAATAGCTGTAAAACGCCCAGAGCGCACTGTACGTAGAGCTTAACTATGCGCTGTAGACTGTATGAAATGTAATAATTAGTTATAATTAGTTATTATTATTGAAACGTTTACAATTAGACCTAGATCTACCATAATTTTCTTGCACAAAGCTTGAACAGTTTTGTTTTTGTTCACCAGGGTTCCTCATCTATGCTCAACATTGACGACCGCCCGCTCTACCTCGGAGGCTTCATGCAGAAGGAAGATCTACCCTCTGGTCTCTCGGTCGATACTGGGTTTACTGGGGCCATTCAAAGGGTAAGAGCTTTAGAATAATAATAAT